GATCACGGGCGGCGGGCGTGGTGGCGATGCGACAGGCGTATCGGGCGGCTTGGGCGGTGGTGGTGAGGTCGTGGCCGGATTATCAGCAGCGAGGGAGATGGCCAGGAGAGTCGTCGCGGTAGAGGAGGACGGGAGAGACGAGCAGGATGATCTCGGTAGCAAAAACGACCCTCTAGCTCCGTCTGGGGCTTTGAAGGAACATGGGCTGCGCTACGCTGACTTCGCTGACTAGGACATGGGCGCGCGCGCGGCCAGAGCGCTAGCCTGCTAGCCCTGCCAACCAAAAAGGACGCCCGCCGCCGCTCCACCACACCACAAGGCGAGTGCTGCACGCGCGAGACAGGCTCAGGGCGTTTGCCTGCACCGGGCTGCCATTTGCTGCTGCATGCCTCTGCGCGCACGCCTGCCCACGTCCGCTGCCCTTCCGCTGCCCTTCACGCCGCGCCAAAACAAAGGCACCTAAAGCGGCGGCACATGTCTGCAGCGCACTGCATGGGCGCGCCTCCGACGCTTCCATGCGATCCCAGCGCCGACGCCCACATGCACGGACGCTGCCCACGAACCACTACTGTGCGCAAGGGATGGTTCGACATGATGCGAAGGGGGAGGCGGCCGCAAAAGACGTTGGCTGTCTAGCCGCACACCGCGTCGCTTTCGCGTTTGCATGTCTCCCGTGCATGTGACTGCCCGAATATGCGGGTGCCAGCCGTGAAGCACACTGATGCCCATGCCAGGAACCCTCAGGCTACGCCCACACGGAACCCTCCCAAGCGGGGTCGGCGGGTACCCTCTGCCACCATCCGCGACCATCGCCCCGAGCACCACGGTGACCGACTCTGTCTGAATCCTCACCTAGCCCTCTCCCAGGGTCCAGCGTGGACGCGGCACAGCTGCTTCGCCAAATCTTCGAGAAGCACCCTAGCCGTCGTCTAGTCCCAACATCATCTTCACAGGCATTCTATTTTGACAAAAGTCCCTGCGTCTAGACACTCAAATATATACACTGTGGCTGCGGCACTACTTCCTCGGCTCACCCTCTACGAGTCCTTGTCAGACGTGTCAGCGTCGTCCTCGCCCTCAACCGCTACGCGCCTCCCCTGAACCGCCTTTTCTACCTCAGGCACCAAACTTTCCATGAACTCGCGGTCGCGTCCGACTAGCGTTACCGTGTTGTGGTCCTTTCCCCACCTTGGGTAGCTTCCCACCTTGACCCCCTTCGGCTCTGCCTTGGCTGCGAGCTCGGTCAGATATCCAGCAACGGCACTCTCAGCCATCGGAGTCGAGATGAGGATCCGCAGCACGCCTTTGCCCTCCGGATCCGTCAGTCTAGGCAGGATGCGGGGCTTCAGCCCGTCCAGCATCGCTTCAAACAATCTAGGCACCCCGGGCAAAATATGGATGTTACCGTTCACAACGCTAACGGGAACCCAAAGCGACTCGCTGACAAAAACCACTTGATCTTCATCTGATTTAGAATCATCGATAGGCAGCTCCACCATGCGTTTCTTGGCTTTAAGCGCTGGAGACTCAACGTTCCAGTCAAAGTCGGGCTGAGACTTGTGCGGCTTCGACAGGCGCTTCATGCGCTGGAATGCTGCATCGTGTAACTTCAACGGCAAGCCGAAAGCCTTCGCTATCGACTGGTACGTGATGTCGTCGTGACTAGACGCCCATTAGCTCAGCGGCTGAGTAGTGTAGCGAATACGCTGCACTCACGTGGGACCAATACCGCCGCTCGTCACAACCATGTCGTAATTCTTCGACATGCGTTGCACGGCTTCGATGATCTCGCCTTCGTCGTCAGCAATGACTTCGATGCGGCGCAGGTTGATGCCCAGTGAGAAGCAGAACTTGGCAAAGTAGGCCTGTGTGACATTAGTCGAGGTACCACGCCGTTGATGCGGCATAGTCTACCGAGTTCGTGTCGACTGTCTATGTTTCACGTCAGCTGTCAGTATTGTCAATCGATTCCCACATACATACCTTGCCTCCAAGGACTTCATCGCCAATGATCAAACAACCCGCTGTGTGAATCAAACTCTTCTGTTGTGTCGAAGCCATGACTGATGACGTTATCGATGGACGGAACGAGGCGGCAGAACGATGAGCAAAGTTGGGGATAGGACGAGACAAGTGCCTGGCAACCTGATTCAGTCGTCCGAACATGGATCAAGACGAGTAACTCAGGGGGAAGAGGGTATGAGTAGCTAGGTGCATGAGAAAGAAAAGCCTTCTAGAAAGGTGAGGGTGTATCGACTTGACGGTAGTGCATTAGCTAGCGCCATCCGCGACCTCAGGAACCCCCGCCCATGGACCCCGCTAACGAACGTATCCCGCCCGGCAGACTTCCTCAGCCCTACACCACCCCCGATCATCCTCAAACGCCCGTTGCCAACCTAGGTCTGCTGCATCGTGCGAAATCATGGCAAGTGCCGCCATCACTTCGCTGCTACGCGCGTCATGCCGGGTCGTTCGCTAATACTTCGGCCCAGTCTTCCGAGGCACGACTATACACCTTCTCTGAAGAGACCAAGTCCAAGCTACGCAAGTTCCGCCTGGGCACCTCGCGCGCCAAAGACCCCCAGGCCGTTATCTGTTCGTATCCCTAGGTCTGCTTTTGCCGCAGTCGTTCCTGCCACAGCCAGCCGCGGCCCTGCCCTCTACAATGGCGCTGACGCCTATGCGCGCCAGACGAAATCGATAAGAAGACGCTCGAAGTACGCCAGTCGGACGATGAGGTCTACACCGACGTACAGAGTCTCGCCGATGAGCTCCCAGACCACGCACCGCGATTTGTGCTCTTGAGCTACCCGTTGACCCTCGTACGCCACACGCATCATACACAACGCAAGGAAGCTGAGACTTGATAGGACTCGGGACGGTTATCCGTGCCATACGTCATGCTATACTACCTGCCCATCACATGCAACAGCGAGGTGAAGATGCTGTACGCCGGCGCAAAAGAGCTCATGCGGAACACAAGTGAGGTCAACCGCATCATCGAGATCGACAGTGCCGAGGATTTGGAGGAGATTGAAGACAAGTTGAAGGAGCAGAAGTAAAACAGTACGAGATCACGACGCGATGAGAGAGGGTATAGCACGACACATAAGCGTGCGCCGTTTGACTACACTGGCTATAAGGACAATACCACCACGATGTCGTATCCGCACTAGATACCGCACCGTGTTCGGTTCACACTAGCAATGCTTGGTATTAGTCCTTGTTCGTACATGCCGACTGGAGAGACCTGCGCTCATTTCTTGCTTCCGTTTCTCACCTACAGTATCACAACACATGTGGTATCCGTTTCTGGCGATCTTGAACGATCATGATGTCGCCGCGTCACAGCTAACACTCGCGTAGTCGCGATACCAGAACATCGTTGTCAGATAGATGCGATATCTGCTTAAAGCAGCATCGAGCAAATGCAGAGGATTTGCCCAAGTCTAGGCGCAAGCCTGTTATCGCATCGTCGGACCCTCACCAATTTGTAACACCTATCGTCTATCTGTACCAGCCGTGTCCAAACCCTTTCACGCCACACGAGGCACTACGATTGGTCGGCGCCCCCATCTTCCTACAAAATTACATGTGGACCCCCACCAAGCTCAACCACGGCAGAAGAAAATCTCCGATGTGCACACCACGCTGCAATGTCTGCATGGGGAAGGTACGCTGACCCTTTTTCAACTTTCATAGGTATGATTGCGGCACGTTCTCGTTTGTAGGGATGTTGACAAGTGTGCCCCCTGTCCCCGACTTTTGTGGAGACGTCTTGAACCGTCGCTTGCGCCGTATACAGCGCTTCGTACCGAACCCTGCAACATCAAAACGTTGAAATATGGGAAACGGAATACTTGCTGCAAGTCGTAGGGATCGGCAGCGAAAGTTTGGCTCGGTAAATTATCTGATGATATGTTGGAGAAGACTTTGCGCGCACGGGAGGATACTGCACGCGCGTTGGGCTCTGAGGATCGTGAGGACTGGGTTCAGGAGATTGTGTTCGAAGCGATATGAGCACCCAACTAAAGTGGCCTGTTCCTCGAGTCAACGCGCCTACGACTTCCAACGCGACTTTTGCTGGAGAACATCATGTTACTGTTGCGTTCTCTGCAAGTATGTCGGCAACGATGGCACGGGCGTGGGCCAGCCTCCACCTCATACTGCGTGGTATAAACCGACGGAATAGATTTCACTCGACGCACCGGTGGAATAACTACGATTCTGCAGCTTCCTCCACGAGCTGGTTGTAAGATCAGTGGTCGCTTTACCCGACGCTGTCACCTTCTTTGCTTTGCGAGCAGCTGGTGATAAGCTTGTCTCTGTATTGTATCGAAGATACGTCATCAGTCGCGTCGCGAGATCACGACGCGTCTGTTCTGGAATTGGACTAGTATCGCTTCTGGAAGCGTGTCATAGTACCGAGCGTGCGATGCGCAGGTCCTGGAAGGGCATGTGCACCCATTGATCACGAAGACTTGTATGTCTGAAACAACAGTATATTCGGGCTAATGTCGATCATCCTCCCGCCAGAGGAACGCGATGCCAGCAGTAAAGCCTCTTCATCCGAGCTTTTTTGTATCGAGCCATGACCTTTTGTCATTTAAACCATCACGTCTACCCGAAAACCTCTGTGAGACTGAGCAATAGAACATGCTTATTCAAATCCCTGCTCTTGCTCAAGACCGCGCGTGCTCTCACGTCTAGATTTGACACAAGAATCATCATCTCGCGCACCATATGAGCCTTATTGTACTGCCCACTTGCTGCGTTTTCGGAGGCTTGGCCCGAAGCGATAAAGTACGTAGGGAATTGGCAGTGCTACGACACTGATGATACCAAGCAGAGTCAAAGTCCAATGAGTCCCCAAGTTCCTGTACATTGGAATACCAACAACAGTCATCCCACCAGCTGCAATATATCGGACCAGCGCGACAAACGTCAAGGCCGATGCTGCATATGCTTCGTAGCTGTCGATGATGTACATGTACGCGGACATGAAGATGCAAATGTTGCTGAAGCCAACGAGCAACGACGCCGCTAGAGGCGACCAGATCGACACCGAAGCCTACAGCTGGTTAGACTCATGAATATAGACAGGCATGGCGAATACGTACGTAGTCAGTCCACCCCATCCAGAAGAGACCAATAGGCAGTGTAGGTGCTCCAATCATTGCAAAAAACAATCTTGACTCGCGGTGTATAGCTTTGCCAGATCCATCGTCTCCATCCTTCTCGAGTTGTCGCACGGTTCTGCGGTATGCCACTGGAACAAGAAGCGCGGAAAGAACTATGCCGATGAACAAACCAACGAAGCAGATATTGGATAGCCCCTCGTTGATGTCGAAAGTTTCCGCAAAGATGTAAGGGTATCTGCGAAGACGTTAGTTGTATCCACTATCTGAGGCGTTCTGTGGCCTTGAAGATTTACATACCCATCCAAGAACGTGAACAGTATGATGTAGACGATCATCAAGTAAATAGTGAAAGCCACGACGATTGGCTGTGTACAGAGAAGAAACGGTCGGAGAAAAGATTTGGATAACAGTTCGCCGATAGAGCCATGCGACGCTTCTGTCGCAGTGAGGAAACGCTTGTTCCCTGTAAAATTCCGGAAATGATGTGCTTTGTAGTGCAAAAGACGCGGTCCGAATGATTCTCTTTTGAAGAGCAATATCAGCGTGAAGGTTACTCCGATCAAGATCAATGTTATCCACTCGGTCCATCTCCAGCTGATATCTTGCTCGTAGCCAATGTAAGCACCTATCACTGGGCCTAGTTTCATGTATGATTAGTGAGTTCGAAGAAACAGGCTGGAAATGAAGACTCACCCAAGACTGGTCCACCGAACGCGGGTATCGCGAATAGTGGAAAGGCGAATGTCTTTTCCACTGGACTCCATAGGTCCCCCACAGAGCCGCCCGCAACCGTGAGAGGAGTACTAGCAGAAAACCCAGCTAGGAATCTGAAGACAATCTGGGCCCCAAAATTCGGGGCTAAAGCGGATCCCAGAGTCCAACACGCGAAGACAAGGAGCGAACCAAGATAGACTGGATATCGTCCGAGGAGCTCCGAGAGCGGGCTACAAAGGTGAAGATACGATGTCAGTTGATAGTCTATATGCGATTCGTTCGTCCAACTTACCTCAGCAAAAGAGCCCCGAAGCCGAAGCCTACCAAAAAGAGTGCAGTAGCCAACGACTCCGCCACCTCCGAAACCCCAAAATCGGCAGACGCTCTGGTAAGAACTGCAGAGTCGATGGAAGACGCGAGTGTCGCAACGAAAGCGACAAGGCATACGAGTAACGTCGCACCAATACGGTGTAGGGTTGAGAATTGCTTTGGGTTATGTTGGTCATCGGGCCCGCTCCAATCAACCTGGTAATACAGCTCGTTGTTACCATCTTCTCTCAACGTGATGCCTGGAATCCGAGTGAACGGTCCGCCCTTTTCCAGCTCTTTAGGTAACGCTGAATCCCCTAGCCCATATGCCTCGTCGGGCGAGCGTGCAGTGCGAGCAGTCAGTGGGTCTGAGACTTCAGTCACGCGTTGTAATTCTTCCTTCACATGTCGCTGAAGAGCTCTGTACTGTAAAAAGAACGCCATAATAGGATAAAACAAAAAGATGGCTAAAAAAAAGATTATAGGGTCCGATCAGAAGACCGTTTCGCATCCTTTTAGGAGCTGGAGAAAACCGCCACGGGCTGCCTTGTCTCCGTGACGTGACGCCCGAGAGCCATCATCGGAAAGGGCAGGAAGGCCTCCGACACATAAGCAAAACGCTATGCTTTTAAAATTGGGGCCTCTTCGAATGCTTGTGACGGGAGATGCGAAAGTGGGTTTTCGCTGGAGACTTTTTGTTGTGTTCATGGCTAGAGCCTTGGATTTAGCGTCGCCCATGCTCCCCGAGGCAGCGCTTTCCCTAAAAGGGTGACGGACCTGACGTATGTCATCGGGAATAACTGTTCATGCGGCCAGCTTTTCTTTCAAAGCACGATTGTATCAAGGGGGATTGTGCTTTGTAATACTGGTGTTTGCATAGACTACGCTTTGCAAGAATCGACCGATAAAGGCGGCTACTGCTTTACGTGATGTGCGCGCGAGAAGGTGAGCATGACTTCGTCAGCTCGTGAGTACCCTTTTTTCCATCTTAAGTTGGAATCATTGATCTTTTGACGATAGAGCCTTGCGATGGCCACAAAGGTCTGCTCACTTTTGGTAGACGCGTGAGCGGTCGTGACGGTGTCGGAAACCTCGGTAGCCTCCGCGGAGCAAATGTTATCGGATGTTGCCTTATCGTTCTCAGTCATGGCCGCTGCTTCCACTTCATACCAGAAAAAAGCTGAACAGGTCTAGAGCCTACACTAACGTTAGGTCAACTACTTTGCATGCTTGCATGTTAATGTAGGCTGCAGGCCTGGCTTTGAGCTTCACATCGAGCCATAGAGAGTTGCACGGAGGGTGTAACATTGTCCTTTACCGCTCCACAAGCTATGTAATAGTCCAGCAGAGATCTTGAACATCGAACAGTAAGTGATGCTCTTGAGATCAAGCCCTTTCCACGTTCTCAGTCTTCGCCGCGGTGTACTCAGCGTTAGACTGGAAGCCACCTTCCGGGAGTTTGTCAAGTGTGTCATTCTCTCGGTCCAAGCTTCGGAAAGTCCAGGCAAAGCCGACCCAGCCAAGGAACGTAAGGATGGCAATGCTCATGTACAGCCACACGAGCAATGGATCACCAGCCAACGGCACAAAGGCCTGGGCGATGGCAGACGAGAAAGCATGCGTGAACCAAAACATGCCAGTCACCAAAGACCGCATGTTCTTCGGTGCTTTGGAGAACGCGTACTCAAGTCCCGTGATGCTGGCGAAGATCTCCGAGAATGCGATGAGAATGTATGCAGGGACTTGAGTCCACACTGAGAGGTCCGGGGGCTGATCGCAGTCTGTTGGAAACTCCCCGCATGGCGATTTCTGGTAGATGAAGTGTTGGATGACTGCTGCAACCACCATGGAAAGCATAGCGCAGACGAAACCAGCTTGTATCTTCTTCAAGGGTGTGAAGTTGATGCCCATGTGAGCCAGCCTCGGGTAGATGAATTTGTCGAATATCGGAATGCAAATCAGCAATGTGAATGGGTTCTATGAGCAATTCTCGTTAGACTTCTTCTATCGTGTATTGAGGTGTTAAAATCATACCAGGTTATGTACCACATCATTTGGTACTCCATTGAGCTTCATGGTGGACGCCTGTGAAACCAGGTTACTGGTCCTTGAAGACGGTCAGCGCTTGTCTTACGTGGATCCAAGGTGCCAATGATACTCACATTTGACCATAAGGCAGCCAAAAGATAGGCAACCAGAAGAATACTTGACAGGCCTTGATGCCACGTCGAACTTCGTCCACCCACGCGTCATCGAAAGTCATCCATACTGGCTTGTTGGCGACTTTGCTTGGTTTTGCAGCGTCCCAAATGTTCGGATCAGAGAGATTCCTCCACGTACGTACGGGATTGAGCGAGAAGCGCCCCTTGAGAACCAGCCCGTATGTTCTCATGGACTTGACCAGCACGTCACCTTGTGGGGGTTTCTTGACGTAGTGCTTGCTGAGGGTGACCATTAGAAGTGGGCAAAGAGCAAAGAGGATAGTTGGTAATGTGAAGGAGAGCCAGAAGCCGACGTATTTCTCGGCATATACTGTAATGAACGTCAGCTACCGCATGGCACGGTTCATCGAATATTACTTACCCATAGAGACTTGGCCAACCAGCGCACCGACATTGATCAGAAGGTAGTAACGCATGTATACTCGGGAGTATGTGATGCCTGGGTCGACTATAACCCGTTCACCATTGGGCTCGGTACGAATAAAAGCCCGCGGATGACTAGCCTCATATTGCTCCGCAATGAGCGGAGAGATGCAGCATTTGAAGAAGCCCCTGCAAGTGGTTAGCATATGAATTGAGTTCGTTCCGTGCGGAGACACTTACACACCGGTGCCAAATAGAATCAGGCCCAGAATGAACGAGGCAAGAGCTCCTTCAGGGTTTGGTCCCATGACCTGAGGGATCGCGGCAATGATGATTAAGATATGGCCAAGTGTAGCAACGGCAATGGCGAAGTAAATGGTCTTAAATTTGCCCCAGTATTCGTCAGCAACCCAACCGCCTGACGAAAAGAATTAGTACATTTCCTGCTCGGGGACAAATATTATGCTTACCAACTAGCGGCATGATGTATGAGAAGAATGAGTTAAATTGAACAAGGCCTGTGCTAGCACGCTGGCCCATTCCAAGGGCTCCTGGTTGACCGTCGCCGGCAGCGCCAGCTTCAGGGAAGGGTCCTGACGTGGGGAGGTCTCTCTGGATGAAGTTGACAAAGACGGCGGTCGTTCCGTAGTAAGCAAAACGCTCACACATCTCTACAACACCGATGATGTAGACTAGTAGTGGGTTGGTACGTCAGCGCATGATACATAAAGGCCCTGTAGAAAAGATGTGCGTACTCATCCAATTGACTTTACCGTACACACGACGAAGCTTTCCCCAGTCTTCTTCGGTAGGGTATTGCTCGCCATTGGGGCCAACAAGACTCTCTGAAGTTGACACAAACCTGTCGTGCTTCTCCAAGCTCGCACTGCCCCGTGTGTCGTTGTGAAGACGAGGTGCATTCGCCAATGCGGCGTCAACAATCTCGAGATTTGCCCCTGTAGACATGGCGGCAGGTTAAAATGTGATTTTCTCGAACACTTCGGCCGACACGCCGGGTTATATAAAGCTCTATGGCATCTTCCTTCGGATTGCGAGCTGCCTCATTCAGCAAAGTCGTGGCACTGTATTAACATTCACAACGTCCTCGGCACCAGACAATATTCCCGGTACCCTGATCGCCCAGAGATAACTGTCTGTAAAAGGCGCTCGGTACTCGCTCGAATTCCATCCTACATTCTTGGATTTCTGGGTATCTCGGATAAGCGGTTGGCGCCGAGCGTTGCTAACGGCTGCGCCGTTCTTGAACGTTTGTGACCTGATCTTGGCAGGCATTTCAATACCAGGCCAAGCAGATAGCACCCAATGAAAAGCAAAATGAGATATGAAGGGGTTGTTGGCCACCTAGTAGTGAACCCAGACGGTCGGACGTCCAAGATCTGACAATATCTTGACAAACCCTACATCGCGACCTTCCTCATCAAGCAATGTGGCAACCCTTATCCTGAAGATCTGCTCCGATAGATGTTGCCCAAGTGACCTCGGGAGTGTTGAATGTTTCCATCATGTCTTACTGTTGCTCTCGGGCGTAACGAAGCCTTCGTCACGGCGGTCTGGTTGAGCGGAAGGTAGCCTGTCAATGACCGACTCGTTCGGACGGCTGCGTCGCCATGCATCAGGCCTTGAGAAGCAAGGAAGGAGGCGTGAAGGAAACCATCGGCATAACTACTACCATCCTGAAAGAAAGGTGTGGACTGGTCGCGGTGTCCTTGTTCAAGCGCCAAGCATGCCCCGCCTGGACTAGGCAGCTTTTGGCTGTCGCCCCCTCTCTTTCCGCACCCACCTCCAGCGCTGCGCAGCGTTCATCTCTCAGGCGCTACTGAAGCGTCGCTTCGCAGACCGATCATCAGTGCTGATTGCGAGCGATAGATCCCCAACGGCCACCTTCACATTCCTTGCATATCTGGCAAATACCCTAGGTCACGTTGCTGACTTAATGACTAAAGAACGGTCCCGGTGGTACGCTTTCACTAACAATAATTGCTTAGGAAGTTTACGATTGTACTGATCAAGCATATCTCTTCGCCAATCAAGTTGATTCATATGAAGTTGATTCGATAGTCCTGCCTTATCCGCCACATCGCTCCTCCACCACTGTATCATGATCGTTCCTGACTAGAGCGATAAGCAAGCAACTCTTGTTCAGTTTGCCTCAGCTTCTCCCTTTCAGATTCCAGTCTCTTTCTCCGCTGATCATTCGAGCCCTTCTGCGAATCCTTCTCCTTATCGTAAGCCAAAGGATGGTTTACAAGCAGCCGAATCTTCCAGTCTTCAAATAACACGTCTTTCGCAACTCTTTTATTCCAAAGCAGTGCATTTACTACATTCTGCATACGCTCTGCGCACGTCGCATCAGCATCAGCCTCGAGGCCACGGTGGGGTTTCAGGGCTTTGTTGAACTGAGCTGGCCCTCGGAAGCCACTCTTGCACCGGTCGATTAAAGCTGAGAAGATTTCGCGACATGTCGCCTCGAGCAGTAGAGAGTCGTACGCTTCTGGTCGAAACATCCTGGCTGCGCTTGAATTCTCAGGATCCTTGATGTCTTCGAGATTGATCATGGCCAGAACGAGCTTTCGTACCCAGAATTCAGCATGCTGTTCTACATCTGGGATCGAGACATCAGAGCGAGGGTCTATCTGAGGCGCTCGTTGCACCCTACGCCTATATTCTCGAGCGTTATCCCACCGACTGCTGGTAACAGGAGCCGGAGCAGTGCGATTGGGAGTTACAGGGTTTTGACCGGGTGGTGAGAACATTGTGGGCGGAAGTAAGCTTGTGTATGATTGTGGAGGATGAAGTTCGCAGCGTCTCTGCCCTGCAAGTCGGCAGCTCATATCAAAGTGTGGGCGACATGTGAATGTCAGTATGTAACATGAGGCATATGCTGATTGTTGACGGTCAAGTCACTGATGGTTAGATGCGGAATCTGCAGGTATTATGCACGTAGTGATCTGGCAAGTACATTCATATTCTGGTGTCTGAAGCACTGCAACGCAGTGAATTTGACGAAGTCGAAGGTTGTGAATTCCGCCATGTCATTGACGGCGCCGCTTCCTTGAGCTCCCTACGATTAAACTAGGCTTTCATAGCGTTTGCGCTGTGCCGCACTGCCACACAGTGTATTCGATCCACACTAAGAACTCGTTATCACGCGCATCTGATCTTGAACCTCAACTCAACAAACAGGTGACCAGAAATTCAATACCATTTCTGTTCCACAAAACCGCGAAGGTTCATCCGAGCAAGACATGCACTAGGGATATTGAAAACATCAAGCATGGACACAGGAACAAAGGCTCCGTACCCCTCATCACGTTCTAATACACCATCTCGGATAGAGCCTTTAGAAGGCTCTTCGTCTGTACAGTTCACGGCGTCACGGCCAGTGCAGTTATCATCACCCTCCTCTACTCTCTCACGGCCAACTCCGTACGCAGGTCAACACATGTGGGATTATCCGTCTAGAGATGATATTGGATCACAATATCATCCAGGGGCTGCCGAGGAGAATAATTTTGGCAGAAACCAACCGCTGGCGTACTCGTACAACACCTTCATGGATGACGTGCAGTCTAGTGAACAGCACTCTATCGATATGCCCGACCATAATGAGTACGTCGGGCCAATCATGGATAGGAAAAGAAGAGAACATGGTTTTGCACCATCACCACCATACCCCTTGCACGGTCACGCTGTGAACGAACATCCCAAGAGCGCTAAACATGGTAACAATAGTGGCTTGGTCCGTCAGCCAACGGCAGAAGACTTCCTTCGACCCGATCATCCACTCCCTGCACCGCCGGCTGAAGAGTACGACTCAGACCAAGATCTTCCAGTAATTGAACCAGACTCATATCTTCCCGAAAGTTCCAACCATACTCATCTGGCCGATCTCTCTCAGCAACCAGTAGCTGCCCCCAAACGACACTCCACAACTGCTGCTGCCGCCAAAACTACACGTATACCAGAAGAGAAATCGAAGCACAAACGCCCGCAGTCCGGGATCATCACACCTTCAAACGCATCAGCTCTTGACCACGAATCAGCAGTGTCAGAGCATCACAGTACACCTGTACGTGTGCCGACTATCAGCAGTGACATGTACCAGCCGGCGCTAGGTGGTTTGCAGCGAGTATCAGGTGTGCAGCGTAGGGATTCGAAGCGCGATCGCGTCAAGCGTTTTGCGAAGAACTTGAATCCTTTTCGCCACGAACGAAAGTTTGGGCGTCCAGAGAATTAAGAAGTTGGCGGGTGGAGACGGACGTTGTACTAGACACGCTCTTCTTGTCGCAAGTGGTCCTCTCTGGCGCACCTAAGCGCAAACTGGTGATATGTGTCGCTCAGTTTCTATGATTGAGAAGCTGGGGCTGGGACAAAACTCGTGTGGCCTCGAAGGTGGAAGTAGCTGTGGCAGGCGCTGATGTTCTGGCAAAACATTCAGTTTCTGCGAATAGCCTAGCTTGCATACTGAGCCAGCCAAAGTCTGGGTGCGAAAGAAAGGAATCAAAACAGAAGTAATCGGTCTATACAATGACGAAGTGCGAACATGGTGAGAGAGTCTGGTGATGGTATTGCAACACGATGCACACCCCCACTAGCGTTCCAGCCGTGCCTTCTTCTCTGGCCCAAGCCCCACCTTCCATCTCTCTCAGTTCAGTTAAGAATATCAATTTTCCGATCGTTCTTGGTAATCGCGACTCACCCAGGAAGACTCCCCGGAATCAAGGCTACTGTCGCATTCACAATGCTACTGTTCACATTGCCCAGCCGGCAATGCCCGCGGCTGAACAGTTGTTACGCCTTCACAAGCGTTGCCAACTTGAGCGCTGCTACAGCATGCGATTATTTGAGGTGTCCTTCGTCCGCACTTTCTGTGAGTACGAGTAGCAACCGCGACGCACTTTCGGAATCTTCATCACGGCTCTCAAACTCAACAATCTAGATACTAACATGCAAATCTGAGAGAACACCAGTACGCTCTACTACCGCACTATCCATATTGCCGATGCAAACGGCACCACCAAAATGCCTTTCGGTCCCTTTGCCCTTCAATGACGGAACTAGAACTGGCATTGCGCCACGGATGATGGTCCTGGCGGCTGAGTTAGATGTTCTCTGTACACCGTCGATATTGCTCAATGCAGCTACACGATCCCATTCTGCGTTTGACTACTGCGTACGAGCCGGAAAGTTGGACGGTATCTCCACGCCTGATCTGGGTGTTACCAATAGCACTGAAGAATGACATGATGTTACGTTTAGAGTAGTCAGAGGAGTAGCGCATCATCTCCAGAACCACGATACATGGAGAATAGGCGCGGGGGCAGTTTGAGAGTGGACTGAACGTTTATGAATCAATCCACTTGGTCCTCAGGTCTCCAAAGGTCAAGCGCAAGATGTTTGTAGCAGTTGATATTGGAAATTACTATCACGATGCTACTTCCCCGCTTGTTGCCCATGATTCAAACCCTCAACAAAACAGTATCCGTCTATTCAATATCCGAGTCTAGTCAGGAGCTGGACGCGATCGTCGGTGCTTGCGGGGCGTCTTGGGTTGTGCGCTCTATGCCTCGAGGTTGTTCTGGATAGCGGTCTCGAGGGCCTTGGGGTTGGCGCCAACGACCTCGGCAACCTTGTCGCCGTTCTTGAAAAGGATGAAGGTGGGCATGGCGCGGATGCCGAGCTTTCCTGCAACCTCGGAGAGTTCGTCGACGTCGAGCTTGTAGAAGCGCGCGCTGGGGTACTTCTCGGAGAACCTACAAGGCGGTTAGTCGCGGCTAGCTGCCAGGGCAGTGCGGATACTTACTTGACGACCTGGGGAGCGATCACTTTACAAGGGCCGCACCATGTCGCGAAGCAGTCGAGAACCATGAGGGTGTCCTTCACAGCCATGGCCTCGTCGAAGTCGCTCGTCCTACGATGCCGTCGCGTCAGCGCATGCCGATGGC